CTTTTTCTTTTGTCTGTCGTGGGGCTTGAACTCTGGTCTTGGTCGCTGTCCCTGCACTCTTCAGCTCAAGGCAAGCACTCTACCACTTGAGCAACAGCACCACTTCTGGTTTTCTAGTGGTTTATTGGAGATAAGAGTCTCATGGATTTTCCTACCCGGGCTGGCTTTGAACCATGACCCTCAGATCTCAGCCTTCTGATTAGCTAGGATTACAGACCTAAGCCACCAGTGCCCAGCAATATGTGAGACTTTTTTTTTTTTTGACAGTTGTAGAGCTTGAACTCTGGGCTTGAGTGCTTTCCCTTAATTCTTCAGCTTACAGCTAGCACCCTACCACTTGAGCCACAGCGCCACTTCCAATATGTGAGATTCTTTTGTTGTTGGTGGTGGTGGTCATGGGGCCTGAATTCTGGGCCTGGGCACTGTCCCTCAGCTCTTCAGCCTCAAAGCTAGCACTCTACCACTTGAGCCACAGCACTACCTCCGGTTTTTTCTGCTTATGTGGTGCTGAGGAATTGAACCCAGGGCCTCATGCATACAAGGCAAGCACTCTGCCACTGAACCACCTTCCCAGCCCCAATATGTGAGATTCTTATTTCCAATCAACCACCAAAAAGCCAGAACTGGAGCTGTGGCTCACAGGGTTGAACATTAGCCTTAAGCAAAAAAGAGATGGTGCCCAGCCCCTGAGTACAAGCTCCAGGACCAGCAAAATAAATAAAAGCATCATTCTATTTCAATAGTTATATATCCATAATTTCACAATTGGTTCTTCCAGCACCATGATTTAACCCATTCCTTATTAATATATAAACTTTTAAGGTTATTTATAGCATAGCTATGGATATACAGACTTCCATGTGTACATAGGTCCAGTAGTGGAATATTTGACTCAGAAGATATATTCTTTTTTTACATATTGGAATGAGAGGCAAGTCCATGAGACTTTCTACACAGCAAAAAGCCAGAATGGAAATATGGCTCAACCCTAACTGTAAATGAAAAAGCCAAACAAGAGGGATAGGCCTGGAGTTCATTGCCTGGTAATGGCACACACACACACACACACACACAATAATAAGGTGCCAGTGGCTCACACAATAATAGCTATTTGGAAGGTTGAGATCAAGAAGGTTGTGGCTTGAGGCCAGCCCAGTCAGAAAAGTAATCCCCTTCTCTTTTTTCTTTTTGCTGGTCCTGGGGCTTGAACATAGCATGGGCGCTGTCCCTGAGCTTTTATTCAAGGCTCACACTCTACCACTTGAGCTACAGCATCACTTCTGGCTTTTATCTGTGGTTAAGCGGAGATACCATCTCATAGACTCTCCTACCCAGGCTGGCTCCTCAGATCTCAGCCTCCTGAGTAGCTGAGACTACAGGTATAAGCTATCAACACCCCTTCTCAATTGAAAGCTGAGTGTGGTGGCCCATACCTGTCATCCAGCTATGATGGAACCCCTAAAAAAGACAAATTGAGGTCCAGATTCCTGCAGGAAGCAAAAGTATCTATCTCAACCAGTACAAAAAGGGTGGAAGTGTCGCGGTGGTTCAAGTGGTAGAGTGCTAGCCTTGAGCTGAAGAGCTGAGGGACAGCACCCAGGCCCAAAGTTCAAGTCCCACGAACGGACCCAAAAACAAAACAAAACAAAACAAAACCCAAACAAACAAAAAGGGTGAGACAGATGATACTGCTGTAGGATAGCTGCCTAGGAAGTTTAAACTCCATAAACAACCACAAAAAAGACAAATTTGTACAGATAAATGTACACCACTATTACCCAAACTCACCAACTACTTATCCTATGGTCATACAGCTAAATCACAAATCTACTGCACATGTGTGTGCATGTGTGTGTGTGTGCAGGTAAGTGGGACTTGAATTCAGGACTTTGCACCTCACAAGACGCTGGCACTCTGCCATGTGCCATACATCCAATTCCTTTTTTTATTTTCCTGTGCCAGTTCTGGGGCTTGAAACCAGCACTTGGGGACTATCCCTAAGCTCAAGGCTAGCACTCTATCCCACTTGAGCCACAGCTCCACTTCTGGGGGCTTTTGGTGATTAATTGGAGATGAGTCTTACTGACTTTTCTTCAATAACTGAAATCCTCATGTCTCAGTCTCCTGAATAGGATTACAGGGATGAGCCACAGGCACCCAGCAAATCTTTTTGAGTAAAAACGTTTTCAAGTAGAAAGTTCTTTAATATAGATATTGTCTTATTACAACAAATTTAGTAAATAGAAAAAACAGTCAATGGTATCACCAAGCTTGTACACTTTTTTCTTTTCCTTTGTTTTTTTTTTTGGGGGGGGGTCCGGTCATGGGGCCTGAACTCTGGGCCTGAGCACTGTCCCTCAGCTCTTCAGCTGAAGGCTAGTGCTCTACCACTTGAGCCACAGTGCCACTTCCGACTTTTTTGTTTTTGCTTATGTGGTGCTGAGGAATCAAACCCAGGGCCTCATGCATGCAAGGCAAGCGCTTTAACCACTGAGCCACCTTCCCAGCCCCTTTTCCTTGGTTTTTATATGTCAAAATAATTTACAAATAGGGGCTGGGAAGATGGTTCAGTGGTAGAGTACTTGCCTTGCATACCTGAGGCCCTGGGTTTGATTCCTCAGCACTACATAAACAGAAAAGGCCAGAAGTGGCACTGTGGCTCAAGTGGTAGAATGCTAGCCTTGAGCTGAAGAGCTAAGGGACAGCACTCAAGCCCCATGACCGACCCCCAAAAAAATTACAAATAAAGTAGAATCAGTAACAAAGATCTGACATGCAATCTTTTTGCTATTTTGTGTGTCTGATTTTAGAATGTAAACTCTGACACTTGTTTTCACCCATTGGCTAGCACTCTACACCTGAGCCATGCATCCAACTCCTTGGCATACAATTCTAAATGATGCATTTTTGTTCATCAGTCTTCACTAAATTGTCCTCTTGTCACACTTTTCTTTTGTCGTTGTGGGGCTTGAACTCTGGGCTTGGGTGCTGTCCCTTCACTCTTCAGCTCAAAGTGAGAGCTGTACTGCTTGAGCCACAGCACCACTTCCAGTTTTCTAGTGGTTAATTGGAAATAAGAGTCTGAGGACTTTTCTGCCTGGACTGGCTTTGAACCATGATCCTCAGATCTCAGCCTCCTCAGTAGCTAGGATTATAAGCGTGAGCCACCAGCGCCTGGCTTGTCACACTTTTATACATAGACATATTTTTGTTGCTTATGAAACGAACTCAGGGCCTGGGTACTGTCCCTGAGCTCCTTCGCTCAAGGCTGGCACTCTACCACTTTTGAGCCACAGCTCCACTTCCTGTTTTCTGATGGTTAACTGGAGGTAAGAGTCTCATGTACCGGTCGGGGAATGTGGCTTAGTGGTAGAGTATTTGCCTAAGGGAATGAGCCCCAGGTTGGATTCCTTTTAATCAAATACGCAGAAAAAGTCAGAAGCGGTTCTGTGGTTCAAGTGGTAGAGCACTACCCTTGTGCAAAAAGCTCAGGGACAGTGCCCAGACCCTGAGTACAAACCCCAGGACTGGCAAAAAAGAGGGGGAGGGGAGTTTCACGGACTTTTCTGCCCTGGCTGGCTTCGAACCATGATCCTCAGATCTCAGCCTCCTTTGAGTAGATAGGATTACAGGAGTGAGCCACCAACACCTGCCTAAGAATTTTTTTTAAATCTTAGAATTCTGAATGTTTTCATGACAGGTATACAAACAATACACTAACACACAATGCAAAACTATACATGCAAACCTTTTCAAGAGAGATGAGTTATCTTTAGGAATAAAAATGCATGCAAAGTATGATCCTGGCAAGGAAATAGCTCTAATCAAAACTTTCCAAACTAACTTATCTGTTATTTGAACTCAGGGACTTGGACTTGCTAGACAATTTCTTTCACCTAAGCCCTTTCTCTTGCGCCAGACTTGGAAATACTTGAGCCTATCTTCTCTGGAAAAAGACATGGTCAGTCTTAGTTTCAAAGGAGGCTTCATAGGCTGCCTGGTAATCGCCTGTATAAATTTTGCATCTGTATGTATAAGTGACCAACTTCAAATGTGTGCCTGAACACGTGTAAGGATAAGTGCTTGAGGATTAGTATAACTCTAAATCTTAGCAAAATTAAGATTAATAGACTTTGCCAGAGAACCATGCAGACATCCAGGTACAGAGAACAAAGGTTTATTGCCTGGAAAGGGGGCCAGCAAGACTTCTTCTCACAAGGGAGGAATGAGAAGAAGCACCCGCTATTGTCTGGGGTGACCTATATAACCTAGGAGGTTTAGGAGGGGCTAGAAGGGGCTAGGAGGTGGAGACCCTGATGTGGACGTTTGGGCCAGGGGCTTCATCATGCCAGACTAGGATTTATGGCTACTATCCAAATAGTAGATAAGGGTCCTGCAGCTGCCCAGACCTGAGGGTCACTCTAAGGGGCTCTTGTTGCCTTCTGCCCCAGAGAAGTGCCATCCCAAGGTAAAGGGAGTTGGAAGTTGATTACTGCCTTTACTACATGGGCCAATGCTGCCTAGGAAGGGAGCTTGCTAAACTGTGGAGAAGGGGAGGAGTGGACTGGGCTATAGGAAGGGACTCAATTTGCTAACACTAAACTTGTCTCATTTTTATGTGTGAAGATGTCGATGTGACATCGGTGCATGTCCCTCTTAGTGTGGCACTGTTAATTAGTTTTAGTGTGTATGTCCCCGCGGGCGCGTCGTGCTAAAGTTTTTCTTTGGTGTCTACGTAGTACATCCCATCATTCTCGAACAATGGGGACACCTGCTCACACCCTGCTCCCTAGAAGACGGTGAGAAGTTTGGTATAACAAGCAGTCTGCCGCCAGGACACGCCGAAAGGCAGTTGCGCAAGCCACGCATACGTGTACCGCGCACAAGACCTTTAGAGTCACGCGTTCTCTCTTCCGCCCTCTAGTGGCCCAAGAGGGGCAGAGCTGACAGAACGAGGGGGCGGGGCCAGCTGCGGAAGTGAAGTCACTTCCGGCCTGGGTGTTTGTTTGGACTGGAGAAGGGAGGCGGCGGGCGAAGCGCACGTCGAGCGGGGGAGCGGCGCTGCCTGTGGAGATCCGCGGAGGCCGACAGGATTCGTTGGCTGCCGTCCCCGCTGCCGTGCACTGGGTGAGGGGTCCCTTCGGGCGGTGCAACGAGAAGGGTGCGGCGGCCCTAGTAGTCGAGGGACAGCACCTCGGAGACGGCTGAGGAGCCGAAAGGGTCCCCCAGGTTGCTGGCCCTGGAGTGCCGCTTTTCCTCCGTCGTTCCTAGCCTATTTCCGCCAGTCTGAGGGATAAGCTTAGGTAGACTTCATTTCTTTCTCCTCCGAGAAATGGCCGTCGCTTTTTTTCTCATTGTCATTATTTATGATTTGGATCTCGCAGCCCTCTATCCGGGTCCTTGGTGACGCGCGAGGGTTGCCGGGATAGCACTTAGTAGCGTTCCTCAACCCTCAGTCTGTTTCTCCTGGCTTCCCCTCCCGGCCTTGTACCCTTTCTCCTGCCCCCCTACTGCCGCCTCGGCAACAAAGCTCATTGTTTCTACCCACTTTACGCCTGCGCGTCGCCACGCGCAGCTCCTATCCGCTGCGCGTGCGCGCTCCTGCCGAGGGTGGGGTGGGGGAGAGGGGCGGGGAGACTGGCGGGCTGGCGTGGTCCAACGGAGCACTCCCTAACCGTCGAACGGCCTGTATCGTTCATTCAGTCTTTCTGGCCTTTTTCTTCCATCTCTTCGCCATCCCTAACCCTTACTTGGGATATTATTGACTCCCATGCTCCAGATAGGAGGGCCTTTGTCTGGGGGTGCTAGGGAACCCTTACTGTAGGAGTCCTTTGAGCCAAATTAAAGATCTAGCCAGGTCCTCTTTACCATTCACGAATAAAATCTCCTCCACAGCCACCATCAGAAAAAGGGGTGGGGACTTGTAAAGTTATTTTTAAAAACAGTTGTTTCAGCTGCCAGCAGTAATTTTCTCATGAATACTAAAAGGTGCTTTCTCTGCTTCCTCGTGTTTTCTTGCCTCCCCTGATGTTGCAGCCCCATCTCACAAAAACTTAAAACTGTAGAATTTACCTTGGGGGGCGATCTAAAATAGCAGACAGCCTTTGACATTTATTAAAGCAAAAACACATGCTCATTTCGTTTTTATTGGCTAGTCTTACGCTGTGAGAGAGTTGTTTTTCACGGAATTCATTTTAGCTGTTGATCAGGTGTTTAAATTCTCATTAAATAACTTTAGAAATGTCATTGGATGTGAGTTGTGTTTGCCAGTTGGAGTCTAAGGATTTTTGGTGAAATGGTATTTGTTGTTTGGTAGTCCATGCTTGTGAAAGGATTTGGCGGCAGTTATTTATTGTGACCTTGAACACAACTATAAATACAACTATTTCTCACAACTAACACAAATAAAGATAGGTAACATTCCAAAAAATTATAGCCTGTTTATTTGTTTCTTTAGGGGATGGGGGAATGGCAATTTACTGTAATGGTTAAAAGGCTGTGCATATTGATCCCTGAGAACTCAGATTGAGGTATGGAATTTTTACCCTCTTTGAGACAGAGTAAATGAATAGCAGTTTTTTTTTTGTTTTTGTTTTTTTGGGTCCGGTCATGGGGCCTGAACTCTGGGCCTGGGCGCTGCCCCTGAGCTCTTCAGCTCAAGGCAAGCGCTCTACCACTTGAGCCATAGCACCACTTCCTGCTTTTTTTTTTTCTGCTTATGTGGTGGTGAGGAATCAAACCCAGGGCCTCATGCATGCAAGGCAAGCACTCTACCACTGAGCCATCTTCCCAGCCCCTATAGCAGTTTTTTTCCTTGAATAAGTAGTAAGGCTATTCAAGTATCCTTTATGATCCCAGAAAATGATTGGTGTTCTCATTTTTTATACTTTAATTTTAGTGAAAATCATTTATGCAGTGTCCACTATTAGCAGAGAAATTTAGTGACATTGAGGGAAAATTTTTTTCTGGTCCTGGGGCTTGAACTCAGGGCCTGAGCTCTGTCTCTTAGCTTCTCTGTGTTCAAGGTGAGTGCTCTACCACTTGAGCCACAGTGCCACATCCAACTTTTTCTGAGTAGTTTATTGGAGATAGAGTCTCTTTCTTTCCCCGACTGGCTTTGAACTGTGATCCTCAGATCTCAGCCTCCTGAGTAGCTAGGATTACAGGCATGAGCCACTGGTGCCTGGCTGCCAGGCATTTTTAAGTGATTTTAACAGATGGTAACTATTTAATCAATAAGTCTAAGAAGTAAGCACTACAATATGATGAAGCCAACTTGAAGTAACTTGACCAATAGCATATACTAGGAAGAGAATTAAAATCCAAGGTGCTGTATATACTGTATGTGATTTTTTTTTTCGGGGGGGGGGGGTCTGGTCATGGGGCCTGAACTCTGGGCCTGGGCGCTGTCCCTCAGCTCTTCAGTTCAAGGCTAGCGCTCTACCACTTGAGCCATAGCGCCACTTCCGGCTTTTTTCTTTTTGCTTATGTGGTGCTGAGGAATCGAACCCAGGGCCTCTGGCATGCAAGGCATGCGCTCTACCACTGAACCACCTTCCCAGCACTGCATCTGATTTAATGACATGTGAGTGATATGTAGGTGGTTAGTACAGCTGTTTAACTCTAGTCCTTCTGAGTTTGGTTCAAAATTAGTGTCCAAATCATTCATTTCCTATCATCTGGATCACCTGTATAGCAGGTGTTTGCATTTATACAACACAGTTTAGGTTTTTTTTCTTAAATTTCCTCATTGTTTAGTGCTGTCCAGCAAAGTAGACATTAACCACATGTGGCTATAGAGAACTTGGAAATTTTAGTTGGTGTGTGTGTGTGTGTGTGTCTGTCTGTCTCTGTCTCTGTCTGTCTGTCTCTGGCTCTATCTCTGTCTGTCTCTATCTCTGTCTGTCTCTATGTCTGTCTGTCTGTCTCTCTGTCTGTCTGTCTGTCTCTCTCTCTGTCTGTCTCTCTCTCTCTCTGTCTGTCCTAGAGCTTGAATTCAGGGCCTGAGCACTATCCCTGAGCTTTTTAAGTTCAAGACTAGCACTCTACCACTTGAGCCACAGCACCACTTCTGGCTTTTGGTGGTTAATTGGAAAGAAGAAACTGACATATTTTCCTGCCCAGGTTGGCTTCAAACTGCTATCCTCAGATTTCAGTTTCCTGAGTAACTAGGATTACACATGTGAGCCACTGGCACTTAACTGTTTTGGTTGATTTAAATGACTGTATGTAGTTAGTGGCTCTCGTATTGATGGCATGGGTTTGAAAAGGTTTGAATTGCTTCTGCTTATTTTTTATATCAATTTATATAAAAACATTAGGATGGGGTTTCTTGGTTTTCTTTGGTTCTGGACCTATAGCTGGAACTCAGAGAGGTGGTGCTGTCCCTTAGCTTTTTTGCTCAAACCTAGCACTCTGATACTTGTGACACACTTCCACTTCTGGCTTTTTGCTAGTTGATTGGCGATAAGAATCTCCAGGATTTACCTGCTGGGTTGGCTTGAAACCTCAGAGCTCAGCCTCCCTAGTACGTAGGATTACAGGCATGAACCATCAGCACCCAGCTTCTTGTTTTGTTTTTGCAGTACTGGGGTTTGAACTTGGAGCTTTGCTTGGTAAGCAAGCACTTTAATTACTGCTTGACCCACACCTCCAGCTAGGTTGGTGAGCTTTTTAATGATGATGGTGAATGGTGAGCGCAACTTACTTTATCTAATCCTAATCACTTTTGTTGCACTGTAGTTGAGATTACAGTTATAGCCTACAGGTGAGAGACCTGCAGTTTTTGGCTATTTGGATATAACATCATTTGAAGACTATACCAAGCTGTGGATTCAGGCAGGCAGGCAGGCCTTGGGGTGGCAAACAGGCCTTTGGTAACAGTGAAGGAGAAATATACAAGAAACACACTTTAGTCGTACCATGTACCAAATGATTTCAAGGGTCTCTTACACCTTATAGGATGGACATTCCTCTGCTAGAAATTTTATCTCTTAAAAGTGTATTTAATATACACCAAGGCGGAAAATTGTTATGTGTCAGATGCTCTACTTAGGTACTTTTACAGTTACCCACTTTTCAAATAAGGAAACAGATGGGTTAAGTAACTCATCCATAAAGGTATTCTGAATCTAGCAACCATACTTTTTTGGTGGGAGTGTGTGGAGTGATACTGGAGTTTGAAATCAGACCTTTTACTTGCTAGGCAGGTACTCTACTACTTGAGCTGCACTCCAGCTTTTTTTTTTTTAACTATTAGTTTAATTTTTTCATGTATGGTTTCACTCTTTGTTCTCCTACCTCTACTTCTTGAGTAGCTGAGATTACAAGCATTCTGCTATCACACCTGGATTAATTTAGATGAGATTTCATTAACCCTGCCCTGGCTGACCCTGAAGAGTAAACATCCCATCTTAGCCTCTTGAGTATTGTCAATACAGGTGGGGGCCACTGTGCCTTTTGTTGTTGTTGTTGCTGCTGGGGCTTGAACTCAGGACCTAGGCACTGTCCCTGAGCCTCTTTTGCTCAAGGCTAGCACTCTGCCACTTCTGGTTTTCTGGTGGTTAATTAGTTTCATGGACTTTCCTGCTTGGGCTGGCTTTGAACTGCAATCCTCAGATCTCAGCCTACTGAGTAGCTAGCATTACAGGCATGAGCCACTAGTGACCAGCTTGTTTTTGTTTGTCAGTGTAGAAGAACAAAGACTAATGGAATTTTTTTCCCCCAAAGTTAGGTCTGAACCTAGATTTTTTGGACTTGCCAGGCAAGTGCTATACTACTTGACATATTCCCTCCTCTCCTCCAGCCCACTTGCCCTCCCTCCATCTTTTTTTCTCCCTCCTCCCTGCCCCCTTTTGCAGTACTGGGGCTTGAAATCAGGGCCTCACACTTGCTAGGCTGTCATTCTTACCATTTGAGACCCCTAACTTTTGTTTTTATTGAAATAGAGCCAATAAGCAAGGCTAGCCTTGAATGCACAGTCCTTCCTCAGATTTGCTGAGTTCTGGGTTTATACTTACTTGCCACATAACAGACTTCCAGGACTCCTGTGGGAATTTATTTCTTTTTAACTGCTAAAAAGACTAGTATGTTAATGCATATAACCTGTATATTATATGTGTGTATAT